AGGCTAATGTCCTTCACTCTGCTGGCAGGGATGAGACCAAGCATGACAAACAGAAACCAAGGGAAGCCTTCCAAGCCCCTTTGTGGGTGACGAATGCAGTCACCCCTCTATCATCCACATTATTGGCCCAGAACAGTGGCACAAGTCACTCAAATAGCAGGTAACAAAAGCAATCTTGTAACTTTCTGTTCTACTTTTTTTATTTTTGGCTTTGGAATTTATTATATCATTTTTGGCAGAAGATGTGCCTTCCCAGTAACTGTAAGTTTGCTTAAGTTTATCTCAAAAAAAAAAAAAAGTTTGCATTTCCTGAGCACAATCCAACAGACAAGGCATAGGATGGAGGCCAGCTTTGTGAGGGGGGCTTGTGGGGGCAGAAAGGAGGCCAGGAGCCAGGGTGCACATCCCCCATGCTGACATGGAGAGTGGCTACATTAGGAGCACCTGAGAACAAAGAAGAGGAGGTTGGAAGAGAGAGAGATGGGGGTGGGGAGGGGAGGAGTGCTGGAGAAGGAAGTTGAAGAAAGTGAGGCAGAGGGTCCAGGAAAGACAGAGATAGGGGATAAGGGCACCAGTCTGTCCCAGCTGTCCAGGGATTGTCTCAGTTTTGACAATGAAATTCCAGCAACCCAGGAAACCCCTCAGTCCTGAGTACACCAGGACAATTGATCACCCTATGTCACAGAGGTGAAAATGCAGAGAAAGCGTGGAAAGAGAAAAGCATCCTCTAAAATGAAAGCAGATCGGGCTACCTCAAGGACATTTCTGGAAGAAGAGTGTGTTAGTCCTAGAAGAGCCAGGCTTCTGCCATCAGTGCCCAGAAACAGCTGGGTTCCTTAGGGGTGATGGCATCTCACCTACTTTTCCCTCCTAGGGAAGTCAGGTACTGCCCAGAGGAGGGTTCTCAGACCCAAAGCGTGAGAGCCAGAGGAGCTGCCCACGGGGCTCACCATTCTCTTGCAATCCTGGCCTGAAATACCTGCTACCCTCATCCAGCTGTGGTGAGGTCATAACTTCTGATCCTGCTGTCAGAAAACCTGGATTCTAATCCCAGTTCTGCCACATGGGTGCTATGGGATCTTGGGTGGGTCCCTTGCTGCTTGGAGCTTAGATTTCTCAAGTGGACTTAGCAACTATGGATTTTGTCTGTTAAAGGGATACTTGGTCATCCCTCTTTTTCTGTTTCCTTTAAGGAACTCCTGTCCTATAATACGTGGTGTTGGTGGGGCTGTCAGTCGTAATGCTCTTCTCCTTCTAACTCCTCAGGGCTGGGTGTGAGCCCCAGACTGGGCTAATTATAGTACCGTATTCTCCAGACACTGACTAGTTCAGGGGTGGGCATGAATCAAAACCCAGGACTTTTCTGCTGGATGCAAGAGGGAAGACTGTCTTCTCCCTTTAAAATCTATAAAGTATAAGCTTGGGACTGCTGGCGACATCTTTCTAGCAGGCAGAGAAATCGTGTCTGCTGCAGGAAACGAATGCAGAGTGGAGTAAAACTAAGAGAAGACAGAGAGAAAAAAGACAAGAGTCTCAAGTGAGAGTCTTGATCCAGCCATACCTGCAGCAATTCAACTTTGCACTTGTTAGTTATATGAGCTTGTACGTTCCCTTCTGATTCACTCAGTTTGTGTCAAGTTTCTGTTACTTGCAATTGAAAGAATCCTCACCAATACAATCTTTTTATCTATGAAAATGAATATAATTCTTTGCAGGACTCTTGCAAGTATTAAATAATATCCCCTCACACATTGCTGGTGGGAATGTAAAATGGGACAGTTACCATGGAAACAGTCTGGCAAGTCCTCAAAAAATTAAACATAGAGTTACCCTATAATCCAGAAATTCTACTCTTATGTATAGACCCAAAAGAACTGAAAACATGTTCACACAAGAATTTGTACACAAATGTTTATAGCAACATTATTCATAATAGCCAAAAAGTGGGATCAACCCAATATCCATCACCTGTTGAGTAGATAAACTAAATTTAGCATATCTGTATAATGGAATGTTATTTGATAACAAAAATGAATGAAATACTGATACATGCTGTAATAAAATGAACCTTGAAAACAATGTACTAAGTGAAAGAAGCCAGACACAAAAGGCCACATACTCTATGATTTCATTTACATGAAATGTTCAAAATAGACAAATCCATAGAGATAGTAAGTAGATTATTGGTTGCTATGGGCTGGGGTGAGGGAATGGGGAGTGGCTGCTAATGGTTACTGAGTTTCTTTTGGGGGTAATAAAAATATTCCAAAATTAGTAGTAATAGTTGCACAACCTTGTGAGTATACTAAAAGTTGCTGAATTGCATGGGAAATTTAATGGTATGTGAGTTATATCTCAATAAAAAATAAATACTCTATGCATATGTAAAGGATTATTATTATTATTATTATTATTTATTATTGCTCAACTTAAATCCCAGCTTTCATAAAGCCCTTCTCTGAGCTTCTCCAGAATGAACACAGATCGTTCATTTGTGACCCATATGCAGCTGCCTTTGTGATTTAACTAATGTTTAAAAATCATTACATAATAAATTATTTAAATGAATAATTAATAAGTAATGACAATGCCAATAAATATGAGGTTATGTCTCTTCTCAGCTCTATCACTAGTTCCTCAAGTTGCAGGCTTCTTTTATGTGACTTGCAGAGCTGGGGGTGGGTGGGAAGGGTGGGAGCGGGGCACTGTAAGCACTCAAATATTTGTTGAAAGAAAAAGCGAGGGTTACACAAAGGCACACACACTAGATTCAGGACCCCCATGCCCAGATGAGGACAGTGTGAGTTAGTGAATGGTAGAATTGTTACTCAAGGACCAGCAGCAGCACTCCCACCGCGGGAAGCCCCTACAGCGAGCAGCGTGCAGTCTCAGAACACGGTCTGCAGCCCCTCTACACAGCAGAGTGCCTCTGGTGCCCATCAGGACTCCCTGACCTTCGGGGACTTTGCGTTCTTCACAGGTGTACCAGGCAGCTCCTAAGCACCTGGAATTTGGGAACCTCTTGGGAGGGTATGCATTTGTAACAGGCAAGGAAGTGGTTTGCATCTCATTGGAATTCTGTTATCAGGATGCAGTGGGTTCAAAGAATCCTGACTCAAACATGCTTAAACAATAAAGGGGACTTAATGGTCACATAATTGGAAAGCCCTCAGGGGAGCAGGCTGAGGGGATGGCTTGATTCAGGAGCTCAAGAAGACCTTCCTGGAACTTGGTTTCTCCATCTAGCATCTGCCTCATCCTGAGGCCGGTCTCCCTTCCCTACCCAGACCTCTGTCAATTTCCGGGCCTACACGATTCTTTGTCCCCCCAGCCTGGGAGAGGGTGTGGGGGTAGGAGAGCGGAGGTGCAAAAGTTGATTAGTTAGTTAATTCATTCTAGGAGCTCTTCTAGAAGGGCAAAAAAAGCTTACTTCCCAGAAAACCTTTCTTCTTTGTCATGTTGCCCTTTCTTAAAGTGTGGCCAGGGGATGGCAATACACTGATTCATTTCTGCCTAAACCAGGTGCTCCCCCACCCCCACCCCCACCCCAGGGATGGAATCAACTTCCCCCAAAGCCTGTGGCTGATAAGGAGGGGTGAGGATACCAAAATAAAAACCAGGTTAGCTACCAAGAAAAGAGCAATGTTGGGGAGGGAGGCACAACGCCCCCCACTACACGTATGTGAACCTGGGCTTTTCTCATTCTCCAGGATCCAGCCTGAATATCACCGCCTCTGGCAAGCCCGTCCAATCCCCTCCACCCTCTCTGCACCCACACACCTCTGCACTCACTCAGCCAGTCTGGATAAGGAGAGAAAAGTTAATCAAATGATTACACTAATTGATGTGTAGTTTCTACTAAACACAATGGAGAGAGAGAGAGAGAGAGAGAGAGAGAGAGAGAGATGTATCTGGGGATGGGACCTGAAGAAGATAGGGGGATGGGGGAGGGAAGGCTTTGTCTTGAGAAAGTAATGAGGGGCCCCTGCTGTAACTATCACCACGCTTGTCACCCTCCTCCCTGCCTCAGCTCTCTCCCCTGCTGGAAAGCCCAGCCTCCACACCCATGGGTGGTAGTTCAAGGCCTGATTTTAAAGCCTGTGCAACAACTGTGCATTGAATGTAATTGTCAATGGTTAGCAGAGCTGGGAAGGAAGAAGGCTAGATTCCAAAGCAGGGCTTCACTGTTAAGGTAAAATAGGCAGAGTTCTCCTGGAGGCTTTCGAAAGCCTCAGGTGTGAGGAGTGGGGAGAGTGGAGGCGGAGGGGTCTGCATTTCTGCATTTATTCCAGGGTCAGAAGAAGCACTGTGCCTTTACATTCATTCCAAGCCCGGTGGGGGGGGGTGCAGGGAGAAGGGGAGTGTCTCAGAATAGACATTTGAGGGACATCCACTCCCTTTGGCTAAGGGAGACCTGAGTTACCCCCTCTCAGCTCTGTGAAGCTCTTTCCTCTGGGAAATGGGATTATAACTTTTTCCTGAACAGACTCTGAATTGGGAAGTGATGGTGTAGCAGCGGTTCTCAACCTTCCTAATGCAGTGACCCCTTAATACAGTTCCTCATGTTGTGGTGACCCCCAACCATAAAATTATTTTCGTTGCTACTCTATAACTGTAATTTTGCTATTGTTATAAATCGTAATGTAAATATCTTTTTGTTTTCCAATGGTCTTAGGCGACCCCTGTGAAAGGGTCGTTCGAACCCCAAAGGGGTCGCGACCCACAGGTTGAGAGCCGCTGGTAGAGGAAGGTGCTGCACTGGCGAGGTGATTCCCAGGAGCGGTTCTCTGGGGTTTTCTCCTACGGCAGATGTGGGGTTGGAGAGAAGAGATCCGGAGACGGCGTCGAGGTGGCAGCGCAGTGCCTGCCCAGGTAGCAGACGGGCCGGGACTGGACCAGAGCCAGAGCCGGAGTGGTGTCCCGCGCCCCTCCCGCCTCTGGAGCCCTCCCACTTCCTCTGAACGAGCCGGCTGTCAGGGAGCCGCGCGCGGCGCGCAGTGCAAGCTCAGGCGCCGCGCCCAGGAGGCTGCCGCTCTGGCTCGCCGCCCCCCGCCGCCGCTCCGCATCGGGCATCCGCCGCCGCACCGCGGGCCATGGACCTGCCCAGAGGCCTCCTGGTGGCCTGGGCACTCAGCCTGTGGCCAGGTACGTGCCCTTCTTGCCTCCTCTGGCCTCCGGGAGCCCCTCCTTGGCCCGCCAGGGCCTGGGATCCAGCTGTTAGGAGCGGGACGTGGTGCGCCTCCCAGGGTCTGATCTTGGCTACTCTTGGGGACGTGGGTCTCCCAGGAATTGGCTGTAGCCTAGCGGCTCCGCCAAGTTCCGCAAAAGAAGGCGTGCAGAAGCGATTTGGAGCTGGGAGTTTGGTGTGTTTGGGAAGAGTTAAAGAGGCTCGAGTTGAAAAGCGCTGAGGGCTAGTGGCCCCAGTGGACTCCCTGGCTACCTCCAAGGGCCGTGTTGGGGTTCCCGGTCCGTCGCCTCTGGGGTCACTCGGGCATCGCTGGAGCGCCTAGGGCGCGCGGCAGGGGCTGGGAAGGGGCTGGGACGCGCCGAGGGAGCGCTGCCTCGCTGCCCTCCTGCCCGGTGCGGAGGGCGCATCCTGCAGTGTGGAGAGCAGGGTACCGCGGCCCCAAGGGACTGGGGAGACCCTGGAGCGGAGAGATACCCAGACTCCCTCCGGTCCGGGATTAAGCGAACCCCAGCGCGGTCAGCCCCAAGGCGTTGGCGAGCAGTGACCGGCCGGGCCAAAGGGGGATGGGCGCAGCTCCGCAGTCCAGGGACCCTGGAAACGTTACATGACACTCGGGATAGGGACGGGGCATCGTCCCCACCCCGCGCTCGGAATTATGCAATTATCCAGTAATCCAGAGAAGCCGCCATCGCCGAGACGCTCGCCGCCTCCTAATGCACTCCAGGTGTCAGGACACTGCGGGGACCTCGGGCCGACGGGGCGTGCGGCCGGGAGCGAGAGGCCAGCCCCGGGCTCTCCCCACTGGGACACCCAGCCTGGGCTTCCCCACACAGTGCACCCCGGCCGGAACCGCCACGAGGGGGCAGCGGCCAGCAACGCCGCTCTCTGGATAGCGCAAGTTTTCGGGGTCCCTCCACAGCGTGGAAACCAGCGCGCGCCCCCAGGACTGGCCGCCAGTCCTGGCCTCCCCTTCTGCATGTGGTCCAGGCTGGGACTGCAGCTGGTACTGAGGGTCAGATGCGGTGGCAGCGGCGGGAGAGGCCCCCTCAGGGAGTATAGGTGGAGACCACCTCCTCCCAGCCCACGCTCATTCAGCCCAGTTCTGGTGTACCACAGAAACAAGTGCACCCCATTATAGGTTCCTCTATAGCAGAGCTTCTGGCAGGGCCTGTAATTCTTGAAATGGCTTCTGGCTGGTGAGGTTCAGTTCAGATCCCAGAGTCACTGTTGAAAACACACATTGATGCTTTAAGTTGTTGGGGGAGGGGAGTTGGATAGGGCAAGGGAAGATCTGTGACCAGGCCACCATGCTTCTAGAAGCCAGCTTCAAGAGGCGGTGAAGCACATTCTGGGTCCTTTAGTCAGAAGGGAAGACAACTCCAGGAACTGGCTTCAAATCAGTAGGAGATCCAGCCATAGGAAAAGGTAGTGCATTCCAGATAGGTGGAGCCACCCCACCAGACCCTGAGATTGAGAGGCTGCCAGAGGGGCTAGGGACAGTGTGGACCTCAGGAAAGTAAGAGCCAAGTCTTTGAAATCAGACCTGGCTTCCAGTCTTGGCTCTGCTGCCCACTAGCTGTACAGCCTTGCGCAGGTTATGAAATCTCTCCAACAGGTTTCCTCTGCTGTGGAATAGAGATAGAAATTCTGAGTTCATAACGCTGTCAGGATGATTAAGTGAGGCACTGTGAATAAAGTCCTTAACTTGTTGGCGCACAGTAGGGCTGAAGCAATAGTTGTTAATGTTGTTACTCACGCAGGGGTGGAGGGTGGGTAGGGAAGTAGGGTGAAGGTTGGGGACAGGATTTGTGACTCAGAGCTCCCTTTATATGGAGAAAACCACCCCTGAGTTATGTCTGGTCAGTTTGGGTTTTTAAAATATGGGATTCATTAAACATATCAATCAGTGTTGGAACGGCATCTGCTTGCAAGGAGCTGGGGCAGGGGCCCAAGCATGTGTGCAATCTGGGCCCTGCCCAGAGCCAAGAACAAGGCAAGACCAGGGAAAGCTAAGTGGAGGCACTAGGGAGTGAACAGTACAGACAAAGTAAGGGCTACGGTTCAAACGAGAAGTTCAGTTCCACTCGGATAAGCAAAGGAGGCTTCCTGGAGGTGGAGCTACCATTCGAACTCGGCCTTGAAATAGTATGTAGAGTGTGGACAAGCCATAAAGTGGGACTATTCATATAAAGTTATTTCCTGGAACTAGTTCAAGAACAAAAAAGTGAATATTTTAAAACAGCAAGGATGACTGGCCAGTCTGGACTCTGAAGGCTGGAATTGTCGCAGGGGTCACTGGACCCATTCCCCTGGCTCCGGGCAGGATTGGTGTTGATTTCTCATCGTGCACAGCATGCATTCAATGTGAGGATTACTAGGAAGCTTGCCTACTGGTGATGGCATGGTTTGGCTTGGCAGGGGACCTGTCACAGTCCAAGCTGGGAGTGAGTCCTCAATGAAGGCATTATGAGTTGAGAGCTTTTATCTTTCTGGAAGTCCTGCTGCAGCCTGGGCAGGGTGATGGGGTGGGCCAAGCCATCACAAAAGCCAGAAGAAAAGTAGGCAAGCCCAAAGACTTTTCCAGCTGCCAATCCGAGAGAGCAGATCCATTGACCAGAACTTGAATACCATAGTGCATCTGTAGTAAGGGTTGATGAGGTGATGGTTATTTAAAAAACCCGTCTTTACTGAGCATCTGTTATCTGCCAGTCCCCATGAAGACACACAGGGAGATCAGATACAGTGTGAGGGTGAAGGCCCTGGGATCTCACTGCCTGGAATGGGTCTGGGCTCTAACAGAACTCTGTGCCCTTGGCAAGTTACTAAATGGCTATGAGCCTCAGTTGTCTCACCTGCAAAATGGGGATGATAGTAATAGAACTTACAGCGTTATCCAAAGATTAAATGAGCAAATGTATATAAAGTGCTTGGAAAGTTCCAGGCACATATTAAGCACTCAAGGAGGTTGAGTTTCTTCTCCAACATCATCATCAGCAGCAGCAGCAGCAGCACTCAAGGTACTGGACATTGAGTAAGGGACCTAAGGATGCACAGAGATATAACTTCCAAGCTCAAGTCCATAAGCGAAGTCTAAGAGGAAGTACGGGGATACTGGAGGCTCAAAGGAGGCCTACACAATATGGTTCTAAATAAACCTAAACTTTCCTAGCCCCTTCCCGCAAAGACCTGGCCCAAAGTCCTGATCATCATGGGAACTCAGATGATTTTCTTTTTTTTTTTTCCTATTGAGGCTGTCTTGAAGTCAATATGATTTTAGTGTGAGTGTTTTATAGTGTTGGAGAAAAGAAACATACCACTCAGCATGGCCCTTGTGTGTCCTTATGGGTGGGGGTCTTATTTAGCAGAAAGAACCTCATATGAAAAAAGCATAGTACTAGGCACCATGGTGTGCAAAGGCTGAAAAGATCCAAGCCCTGCTCTCCAGCTTTGGAAGAGCAGGGAAGGAGATGCAGTTTGTCACTATGCCTCCCCCACTGCCCACCCTGCTGGGAGCTTGTCAGCCAAGCCCCTCAGGAGCTCCTGGACCCTTCCACCTCAGGCCCCGTGGGCCCTAAAGAGATTCAAGTGGCGTGTCACCCTCTTTCTGCTTATTTACCATGCCCCCTATCTCTCCCACAGTAGACCCCCCCCCACCTCCGGAGATGGGGTATCTATCTCCTTGCCATTCTCCTTCTTCCAAGCCCATCCGTACAGAGCTGTGGGCCCTTGAGAAACTCCGACAGCAACTTACCTTCGTTTTCCCCTGTCTGAACCTCTTTCTCTCCCTTTCTGTAGTAGAAGCTTCCTCCAGCAGCAGGGAACTTCCCTTTTGTCCTCTCCGCTCGTCACGTAGGACAAAGCTGTGTTCTGAGCTGGCCTAGCTTGGCTCTTGTGTATAGAAGGGTTCAACGAATTCAAAAAGCCCTCTCTTTTCTCCACAGTACCTGATTTTGGAGATTGTGTCACTATAGAATCCAAAATCTTACTCTGGGAGTTAAAACTGAGCAATGTTCCACTGAAATTGCAAAAAGAAAGGGCCCATCATAATCTTCCCCAAGTGGTGAAAGCCTCTGGCTGACTCAGAGAAGGGTCAGCTACAAAACAAGCTTTAAACATGCACTAACATTTTTAAAATGGCATCTCTGCTGGTCTTCATCACTTAATGCCCCTACCTCACCAGTATCAAACCGTGGGATACCATCAAGGATTCATAGCCTTTTGAAACTATTTTCCCCCAAACAATTGTGAGCTCGTTAGACACCCATGTGCCCTCAGTATGGGGTTCTTGCTATAGGGAGCTGTGATCTAGGCAGGGACCATCCCCAAGCCCCCATCATGTTAAATACTAACTGTACGAATTCTTAGTTGAATCCCCAGAAGTTTGTAGCCAGTGAGGGGAGGAAGAGAGGAGAGAGACTGGAGTTGGTCTTCTTGTAAACCTAAAATAAATAAGCTCCCAAAAAAATTCCCTGAGGGGTTTGCATACTGTGTACTGCCGGCCTGAATCACAAGATGAATAAAATCACACCTGGAGGGAAAAGTCAGTGTGGTCCAACCCCCTCCCTGCCTCTGTCTCGCATTCCCCCTTCACCCACACGCTTACTGCACAGCAGTAATAACCAGCATGCCTGGTCTGGGAGCCCAAATGCCTGGATCCAAATGCTTTCCACTTGGATGACCCTGGAAAAGCCCTCTGGGCCTCATTTTCCTGCACTGTAAAATGGGGAGATTAATGACTTCACAGGCCGATGTGTGCGTTAAACGATCTTACGTTGTTCATTCATATTAAGTGCTTAGAACAGCACCTGGCACCCAGTAAACCCTCAATTAACAGTGGCAGCTATTGCCCTCCCCCTCATTTATTATTTGATCGATGCCAGCCACTGCGTGAAGCACTTTCTCACATCTCAGTTAAGCCTCTCCACAGCTGCGTGAAGTCACAACTGAAATCACCGGG